GCTTTCTGTCTCTATGTCTCTCTCTGTCTGTCTGGCGAGCGCACGCACCCTATAGCAAAAACCTCTCCAAAAAAAAAAAAAAAAAAAAGGAAATAAATAAATAATTCTTAAAAACAAACAAAAAAAACTAATCATAAAAAGTCCATAACATTAAGAAACTCATTCAGGTTCAAAAGCAAGGATATAAACTATACAGAATATAATCACAACGATGTAAAAAAAAGAATATGACAAGGAAAAAAGATGAAAGAAATAACTAATACACTAACAGAATTGCTAGTAAGCAGGTATTTTACCTCTACTTTTCTACATTTTTGCAAGTTTCGTACAATAAGCAGTTATTACTCTAAAAAATGTATGAATGAGCTTTATTTTAAAAACTTTAATTGGGTAACAAATTTCTTCTGATGTTTGGCAGGATTATCAGAAATATCCAAAATTAACTTGAGTATGCAACTGGTTCAATCTTTTAACCTAGATCTTTAAAAATAAAAAAGGCATTCATGCATATTCATTACAATATTTCTATATGTCTAGAAAATCTTTCCACTTCAGTGTCCCAATGAACTCTGATGTCAGTGTTCATAAAATAAGCTCCTCTTACAAACTACTCTACACTATCCCCTAACTTTCAAAATTTAGTGATTTACTTTTTCCAAGCCCATAATTCTCAGTTTTCCTTCAAAAGCATCCTAGAGCTGCCTTTTCCTACCCATTATCACTGGTACTTAAAATCCTCTCTTCTCTAGGGAGCTATCCTGAATACTACTATAAAACTACTCTTCAAACACTGCTTTCATAAAATGTCGTCTTCTGGAAATGTGCAATGGCTTCTGCTTGACTCAAGTCCAAATCTTTTGTTGGATCAGAAATCAAATCATTCTACTTTGCATCTTACTTTTTTCAAACCTGGTAGAACTATACAGTCTCTTAAATTTAAATTATGCCCACTCTGTTTTCACTTGCTATTCACCATTTTCCACTTAAAATGTCCTGCCCTGAAATCTAAACTTTAAGCTCAAAGCCCAGTTTAAGTCCTATTTCTTCCATGTACCATTCTTTTAAGTATTCCAGCCTATACTGATCTCTCTTCTGACTCCCAATCACATTTATAGTCAGTACCACAAAGCATGACACTTAATTGTCCTGTGACTACTGTATATACACTGGCTTTGTTTACCCAAATAAGGTGTCAAAAAGGCAGAAAACAAAAGGGCCAAAGAAAATACTAGACAATAAATGCATAAAACGTTTTCAGGCATTAAACCAGCTTGATCCCACATGACCTACTGAGCAGTTCAAGTCCTGAACCCGGTGACTTGAAAATCACACTGGGTGTATGTGTGTGGGCGCCCAAAATTGCAAGAGGAGCATGGGGAAGGGATTGTGGCATAGCCATCCCCTCTGGGAGGTGATTTCTTACTCTCCTTCTCTCTCAATCTGTCTCTATCTCTGGCGAGATACACTCTACCAAAACTACAAAAAAAAAATTTTTTTTTTCTATAAAAATACCTCAGACTGTTTTTAAGTCAACTTATTTGAAGTTACATAAACTTAAAAAGTAAATCTGGCTCACAATTTTTTTTATTTTTATCCTTCCAAAATTTAAAACCTTTAACTGTCTAAGTAGAAAAACACAACAATCAGATAAGAAGGTAATTTTTGGCTTGCTTCAGTTTATCTAGTGTAACCCAGTACTTTAAGAATGAAGTAGAGCTGTTTATTCCACAAATCTCTTTTTCTCCCCATAGAAGTATCCCCAAGGGACCAGCAGTTAGTGTAATGGCTATGTTGCTGGACTCCCACACAGTCAACTACGGTTCAAGTCCCAGACCTGGTGGCTTAAACTCATGCCAGGCGCATGTGCGTGCGTGCCCAAGATCCCGAGAGGAGAATGGAGGAGAAGGGATTGTGGTGTGGCCATCCTCCCTGGGGGGTGATTTCTCACTTTCTGTCTCTCTGTTTCTCTATGTCTGGCGAGTGCACACGCCCTATAGCAAAAACCTCTCCAAAAAAAGAAAAAAAAAAGTATCCCCAAGACAGGAAATAAGAAAGGCAGATATTTCCCCTTCAATTCTATGGTAATTTTTTTTGATTCATTACAGAAAGAGCAACAAAAAGACAAACTCAGTATGACCTATTGTCATACTGACCAGTCTGAGAAATAATTATTAAGCTACACAAACAGTTCTGTTAAGAGAGAGAGCGCAGGGTCTAACTAAGCAGCGCAGTGCCCATAGTAGCAACTACATGCCTCATTCTTTCTATCCTCCTTTCTTTTCCCAGGTATAAGTCGAGTTCTTCTGAAAACTTAATCTTCCCTTTCTACCAAACTTAAATTCAATCCAGCCAGAGATATTAAATTCTCCAAGTTTTCAAGGCTCACAGTATTAACAGTCTAAGTAACCATGGGATATATTAAGTTTATATATATAAGCTAATAAAATGAAAAAGAAGGAAGACTAGCAAATGGAAAAGTATTTTGCTAGGAGTATTTGCTGGTTTCCCAGGAAAACTCACAAAAGAACATCTTTTAAATCAATAAATATAAACTAATGTACTATGTATACTGTTAGCCTACCTGAAGCATGTCTCCCTGGATTCTGTGGCATTCTTTGGAAAAGATCATGGTTGTATTCATAATATCTGTAGTCTTCACGTGTACGATCTCCAATTGGCCGCCTTCTCTGACCATCAAAAAAGTTATCTGAAAAATAATATCGAGATCCAGAGTCTCCATTTTCAACAGCAAAATTAACTTCTGTTAAAAATGACTGAGAAGAGCCATACTCCCGAGGAACATCTGCTAGACTCCTGGCAAGATAAGAAGGTGCAGATAATCTGTTGCTTTCTCTTCTCATTATTTCATGAGGTGTTCTCTGAATTGGAGTTCTAAGGAAACTCTGGTTTCTTGAAACTACTCCATCTCCAGAAGCTGAAAAGGCATTAGGGCTTGAATCTGGAAGACAGATATCAGTTCGTCTTGGAATTGTTGGACCATGCCGGATGAATGAAGGCATCAAATCTATAATAAAACAAAAAGTGAAGTTATATTTCAATAAGCAAAAAATATACTTTAAAAAATGTTTTCATTTATATCTACCACCCTCAAAATCAAAATGTCAATGGATTTAAGAGAACACAGTTTAAAAATTCTGATTTAGGACAGTACTGAGCAGGGGCCAACAGGTGGCATGGTGGTTAAGGTGCTGGACTACCACATGGTTGACAATGGTTCGAGTCCTAAACCTGGTGGCTTGAAAATCACACTAGACATGAATGTGCATGCCTGAAATCCTAAAAGGAAAATAAAGGGATCACAATGTGGCCATCCTCCCTGGGGAGTGATGTCTCACTTTCCCTCCCACTGCTTCTGTCGCTCTCCAGTGAGCACACTATAGCAAAGACCTAAAAAATAAAATAAAATAAAATTGAAAGATTAGAAGGGCCAGCAAGTAGCGTGGTGGTTGGGGCACTGGACTCCTGCATAGCTGATCATGATTCAAGTCCTGGGCCTGATGACTTGCTTTCTCTCTTTCTCTCTCTCTCACATGCACACATATGCCCTGTACCAAATTTAAAAATAACAATAAATAAAATAAAAAGAAAAATTAGTATTTTCTCGTTCCAATAAATTCATAATTTGTATGAATGAAGCTCAACTACAATTAAATGTTACTCTGAATATTTTCATACATAATATAAAGTGTCAATGAACTATCTATGAACTACATATCAAAGAAATATGTAGGAATTAATGTATAAAACAGAAAACCTAGAAAATAGATATATAGCACTATTTATTAATGACTACATTTGTTCTATTATTTTCAGTTCATTTTAGAGATTGTCAAAAACCCTTCTTCACAATTTCAAAGGTAAAACAGAGCAACATGGAAAGATGAATTTCTTTAAAAAGATTTAAAAATTAGAAACATTTTCTACTCTTGAAATCACTTCACAATAGTCAAAAGCTAGAAGGCCAAGAAGTCAGGTATGAAATAAAAACAATCTCATTTCAAAGACTGTTCAATCAATTAAAAAACACCACACCTGAAACTATGGCGCCTTTAAGAACAAATCATTATAATTTCAAAACAGGGGGTCAGCAGGTGGCATGGTGGTTGAGGCAGTGAACTCCCAGATGGAAAACTGCAGTTCGAGTCCGAGACCTGGCTGCTTGCTTTCTCATTTTCCCTCTCTCCAGTGAATTAAAAAATGATAACGGATAAAATTAAATAAATAATTTAAAAAATTTCAGACAGAAGATAATGGGATCAACTTCAAGGATATAGTACTTCTGAATATAGAAATTGGGAGTAGCTTACACATTCTGGTGAGAAAACAAATGCCTTTAAATCATGAGGAAAATTAGATATGGATACCATTTTATTAGTTCACTAAATAATATTAGAGTACTCATATTTTTTAAAGAATTTTTTTTGTTATTATTTTTTAAAATTTGACCAGAGAGCAACAAAGGAGAGAGAGAGAAAGGGAGAAAGCAAGCCGCCAGGTCTGGAACTCCAACCATGGTCAGCCATGTGGGAATCCAGCGCCTTTAACCACCATGCCACCTGCCAGGCCAAGGGTACTCATATTAATAAGCTTCGGAGGCTAATACTGGACAGAAAATAGTACTTGAATAAATAAGGCTTAACACTTGATGACATTAAAAGAAAAATACTGTATCAAGTTAATAGCTTAAAAATGTGACACACTTCATGATGCTTAACAATGTTTAACAAACTTTCTATGCAGGAAACAGCAAGCTATCATTTTTACTTTATAAAGGCTAAAATCAGGTCAGTTACGACGGTGCTGGATCCCCAAGGAAGACGGAAGAGAGTTACCTTTCCGAGTTTACCTGTACACACACCTGTGATTCTGGATGTCTGGAAAGGATGGGGGAGGCTCACAGTGACAAACCCAGCTGAGGGGTGCCTGTCTCTTTCTCTCAGGAGATAAATAAAACTCAAAAAAGAAAAAAGGCCAAAACTCTAACAGCATGTTTAACTGAAAACTAAGCTGTTAAAAAAAAAAGTTGAAAAATCAAGTTTCAAGTTACTGATGTACCCATCTGATATAATGTGTTGGAAGTAGCAACTATTACAATAATCTGGAACGCTGACAATGCAGCTATAACGGAAAAACATGCTCTCCACCCCTTTCTGTGTGATCCTGGGCAAATACTAAGAACCTCTAGGAAGAGCTTTCCCAATTATAGTATGAGGTAATGCTTAAGTCACAAGGTTAGTACCAGCTTCCAAGATGGAAACTTACACAAAGGGTACGCTGTCGGGGCACCAAAATCTTAGCTCCTTAAGCCACAAATACTGAACACACAGCATTAAACATCCAAGAGACTCTGCTAAAGCATTTAAATACTCGAGGAGAAGAAAACTGGGGAGTGGGGTGGAGGAAAGAAATTCACTTAAAAAAAACCCTCTTTTTAGTAATTTCGCTAATATGATAAAAATCAGGTTCAGTAGATCGCCTTTTTGTGATGGCCAAATACAAATGATTATGGCTCCCCTGCTCTAAGACGGTCTGTCTGTCCCCTTCTTAGGTCCGCATCAGGCAGCCGGACTAAGGAAGTCTGCCCCGGAGTGGCCACGACCTCCAACACGGGCGAGTGACACCCACGGTGTTTGCAAACAGAACGTACAACGCGACGCATCTGGAAGCGGGAAGAGAGGAGCGTCCCAGTCCCGTCCCTTCTACTTTCACAGCACCAGGATCCACAATTTAAGTGTCCCTGGAGTCTCCTTTCAATAACCAAACTAGTAACCCCCGCCCGGGAAGGGGGCGCGGGCCGGGAAGTTTGCTACCGAGTGGGGAGAATGCCCTCTGCGGGAGATCGCGGGACGACCCCAAGTCTGTGGCTCTTTATCGGCTTTCAATCAACTACCCCACTTCAGGCACACAAAACATGGAAAGCCACATTTCCAGAGCCCAGTGAGAACCGAGAAGCCGCCGCGGCCGCCCGCCCAGGTGTCCCCGGCCTGCCCCCGACACTCACTCCGGAGCAGAGGCGACGTCTCCTTCTTCACGTACTTGCCCTGCACCTCGGCCGGCTTGGACACTTCGTTTTTGGTTTTCTTTCGGGACAGCATCCTTCTCGACGAGGTCCCAGGCTGCGCCCCGCAGCCTACCTAAGGCTCCGCGCCGGGCGCCGGCC